CTTGAATGGATTATGGGGAAGGGTAGGGATCTGTGAGACACAGCACAGAATCCATTACAGATGACCAAAAGGAGCAATGAATCATTTAAAGAAGGTTCTGTCCCAATCCCAAATATAAATGTACTTGAAACTGTGAAAGAGTAAAATTCCAGTAAGAAAACAGAGACAGCTTTACATGACAGCTGCCGGAATTATGGTATCTTTTGATGGCGAGATAGAAGCAATAAGCCCAAGGAAAAACCCTTGAGGTAATAAGGGAAATTCAGAGAATACTCATTCTAGAGGATACTTTTGCCCTGCTTTAAAACAGATAAGTCTATAAACCTCCTACTCACACTGCATTTTACCTCAAATCATTCACAGTCAATCAAACACGAATGGCGTTTTTCCAGATCATTGGAGAAATATCTTTAAATTTTTAATATTTAATAATACATGGCATTTTGCAATTTACAAAATACAATCACATACAGTTTTCTATTTAACCCTCATAGTAATCCCATTAAGTCAAACCACTTACTTAAAATCATTATGTGACAGTGTATTTTGGAGACTGTGGCTTAAAGTTTGTGATGACAAGGACAATTATATACTGAGGTATCACAAATGCCTATCACAGTGCCTTAAACAATAGTGCTCGATAAATAATTGTTGAATAAATTTCTCAGAGGGATTTGTAATTTCTTTGTGTTATTTGTGCTTTTTATGGCATCACATAATAATATGCATATATGTAGCACCCACATATGTGTTTGTGTGCTCATATAGGATACGTGGTATATGTAGTTGAATAAATTATACCAAGTTCATCCATAAAATAGAACTAATATATACATTATGACCTTTTCGAGTAGGAATACTGGAAATATTTGGACCCTACCGATTTATATTCATTATCCTCTTGGTCACTTTGGATAAGTAGGGGGAAAATAGGTCTCCTGATCAATCAAAGTCTCTGACTTTATGGGAGGAAATTACTTTCCAAAGAGTATCTGGAAAAAAATTGCTTAATGTTCGACTACGGGGGGAAAATAAAAGCATAGGGAAATCTGAATTTTTACTGTGTTTCTAAATCTGTGACACTGAATAACTTCTCAGAAATGAAAGATGACTCATAAACTTTCATTCTGGCTGTGGTGGTAGTAGTAATAACAATAGTAATAATAATAATTAATAATAATAATATTTGTGTATTAAACTGAGATGCATTTTGGTAATTTGTACACTATGAGATAAGCTTTCTCCAAAGCCTACAAAAAATTAATATGGAACACCTGATATTTGACTGTGCTTCCAGATGGAGGGACAGCTTTAAAAATGCCATCATAATTTACAACTTTTAGAAAGTGTGGTGTGAATGCATTTGCAGTAAGCTTTAAACAGCTTGGATTATTTACAGGTACAACTGTGTTTAATGTGGAATTTTGGTGGGTTTAAAATATTAGATTCAATCACTGATCACAGAGTACAGGTGTGGCATGTGAACAATGTGATTAGATGCCTTAATTAAATATCTCAGAACATAACACATTTATTTGGTGAGGTTGGAGGGATGGTAGTAAAGTAGTACTTAAATTTTATATTTGATTTTTGAGTGTCACTGAAGGACCTCTTACCTTTGTAAAGATAGCATATTTGGGGGTTATCCTCTGTGGTGTTTAGGAGAATAATAATTACACAAAACAAATATGGAATACAGTGTCTAACACTTAAGGATAACCTGGACAATTATAACCATAAAACAACTAAAGTATGGATTGCTGATAACGTTTATATTAGAGTGAAACCTAAAAGAGCATATAAGTCTATATCTATGGAGGTTAGGAAATTGACATTCAGTCTTTCTGGTTAAATTGGAGAAGGAATCATATATATTATAATTATATATCATATATCCATTATATATGAATATATATATGAATATATATGTACATCTTTTTACATATATATGTGTGTGTGTGTATGTATGTGTGTGTGTATATATATATATATAATCTCCAAGAGGATTTAGATGACTTAGGAGGTAAGAAATGGTTAACTAGTAAGTCATTGATAGATATGCGATTTATTTCTTAGAAATAAGCAGAACATTGAGAAGAATACACGGTAAAGTGAAATTTAAGTTTCTAAAATGAATTGCTTGTTTTCTTGGTCTCTTATGTTTCAGTACTAGGAGAGGAATTGAATACCCAGTAGACAACCAAGCCAGACATGGGCCCTGTCTTCCTGGAGCTTACACTCTAAATGGAAGACAAATATTAAACAAGTCTCCCTCAAATAAATATGCAAATAAAATTTACAGGGCTATAAAGAAAAAAATAGAGTGTTATGAAAAATAACAACAGAGACAGGGTGAGCCTAATTTTGTTGTTAGTGGAGATGTGTCAAGAAGGGCTTCTCTGAGAACTAAAGGAAAAGTTGAATGGGTAGAGGACTTGTGTCAAGGAAGGAAAGTGGTTGGAGGATGAGAAGATTACTTTGTGGTTGTAACATACCAGTTATAGCAAGATGGCCCTTAGTGAGGTTGGAGAAGAGGGAAAAGGCAGGTTATTCAGAGGTCAGCATGGAATTTATATTTTATTTTGATTGCAATTGGAACTATTGAAGGATTTGTAGTGTGTGTGTGTTTGTGTGTGTGAGAGAGAGAGAAAGAGAGAGAGAGATGAGCCAATTTAATATTTTTTAAAGCTCAGTCTGGAGTGGAGATGGGTAAGAGTAGAAGCTGGAATATCATCAGTAGCTTGGACTTTGGTGGATTCAGTGAAGATGAAGAAATGAATAAATATTCTAAGATCTATTTAGGAGGTTGAATCCTGAGAGCTTAGGGGTAGATTAAATGTGGGAGGAAAAGGGAGTTAAGGATGATTCCAAGACTTCTTAATAATACTATTTGACTCAAGGGTTGACCTGGAGAAGAAATAGACATGCAGAGAACGACTATTTGTGATTAACTGGGCTCAAATTCATAGAGTTTAGCAGCCATGATTACATGACCCTCTCACACAGGCTGCATATCAGGGAAAAGCCACAGAATGCGGTTGCCAAGCCTCCTGCACCCGTGTCCCTGCCAGCTGAGCTGACCCTTACAAAGAAGTTCCTGAAATCATCTTTCCACCGATGCTGAGACCTGCCCCATCCAATGGAAGCTGTGCAACCACATCCTTGGTTGAACTTTTATTGACCAATTAGAGTGGCTCTATAATGACCGATCAGGATGCTCGAAGATGACCAATCAGGACAGTGTTATTTGGATATAACAAATTGCAAATTTAGATTTCTCGATTGCGTAAAATAGACCAATTAGGAACTAAAAGTATATTTTCTCTATAAAAAGAAGTCTCCTTTTTGTCTTGGGGTGGGCCCTTAACCTTTCCTCCTGAGACCTTTCCCCTGGTTTATAGACTGTCCATCTGAATAGAGTTTCTCCTTTTATTGTACCCAAGATTGGGGACTCCTGTTGGTAATGGATTGGTGGCAGCAACCTCTTATTGACACAAGAAAGATATATGTATCCTCTAGTACCCTCAAGAAAAATATATGTACCCTCAGGTTCTGGAAGGTAATCTGATGGTTTGTTTAGAGAAGCCTTCCCCAACCCTTCAAGCTAGTGAAGCCGGTTATTCTGTCCTATTCCTGTTTTATCCTCTGAGCAGGAATCACAGTCTCTTATTACTTTGTTTACTTGCTTACTCTGAATATTATCTCCATTAGAGTGTTGTGTCTTCTTGAAGACTATATCCAAAGCACCTAACAGAGTGTTTAACACATTGAAAATGTTTGGTAAATACTTGCTGAATTAAATGGTGAAGGAACTAATGAAAGAATAACAATAAAGAGGAAATACTTGAATCCAAGGTGCTCACAATCTAGCCAAGAGCATTAAATATGATAAAAGCCTTAACAGAAATAAGCAGGAAGTGTTATGGGAGAAGGTTGGATGGTGTGTCTGTCTGGGGGAGAAAAAGATTTCTGGGTACAAATATTATCAAAGATGAGGTGAATATTTTCTAGATTGAGACCACCTGTAAATGAAATCGCTCCCCTATCCCAAGCAAGCTCTAGAACAAAACAAAAAGAACAACTCTTTAAGTTTCACACTTTAAAATAATTATTTTTTAAAGCTATGAGAATGGATCGTTCTGCCAAAAATACCTTGATTTTGTAACACCCACAGTACTTATTACTGGCCCCTTCAGGCAGTAGGAACTGTTGGTCACCTGGCTCCTTCGCATCACTTTTTCTTGCGCCCCCTCCCGCTTCAGGGATTGTCAACTCAGAAAACCCGCGCCCTGTCTTTCACCTCAGTCCAGGGCCCTGGCCGCCTATTTGTTGGAAGGATGGAGAAACATTTACGACCTCATTTCTAAACAGCCCTCAAGAGTCCTGAAATGCAATGTTTCTGCACCTTGCGGGGTTCGTGCTGAAGGAAAGGAAAGGAGCAGTTTGTAACTTAGTGTGCCGACTGTTTTACCTTTAATCCTGTGGATCTGACACTTGTGGTCTCCGCCTCCCTAACTCAGCTTTTAACAGTTTATAGAGCGAAGTCCCTGAGAGAGCACTTGCTCCTACCCTTCTTCCCGCCTGCAAAGGAAAATCAAGCTGCCAGGTTGGGGGCAGGGAACCAACCAGGCGAGCTACCGGCAGCCACGCTGCTCCCAGACCGCTCCGCTGGCTGAAGCGGGCGCCCGAGCCGCGGGGCGGAGCGAAGCCCCACCTCGGGGCGTG